GGGTCCGCCAACCAAACCTTAGCGGACCCTGTAGACTTCAACTCTTGTGATGTGAAGAACGATATGTAATCTTGTCATGTGGACGAAAGACATCCGCGTAAGCATCAATTGAAAAAATGGGTGAGGATCTTATGACCTTTTCGTGTAAGATTGGGGTAACACTTATTGATCATATCTTGGTTTTTGGGGGGACCAAAGACCAATTATAAAATGAGAGATTCACTATTATACCCAATATAGGTGCCCAAATTATAAAAAAAAATCCCACATGAAATGGACTTTAGAAACACACACAAAGCTCATTTACAACATAACAAAAAAGCTTCGAACTTCCTATAAATTACAAAACTACCATGAATTTTTTAAAACAAGCACAACCTCAAAACCTCATAAGAAAAACCCAAGACACTCAATAGGTATCAAAGTAATTTAATAATCAAAATTAAATTCAATAGGGTCAGTTGTCATTTTTTGGGTTTGTTTATAAAAATTAAATGGTATAGGGTTTATTTATATCACTAGTGCTAAGAATGGATATATAACTAACTATCTCTCATAGAATCACGCACCTAGATAGCATTCACTGAAAAAAGACGAAGGACAACAATGGAGAAGAACAAAATTTCTAGAGTTTGTGTTACAGGGGCTGCCGGATTCATTGGTTGTTCGCTTGTTAAAAAGCTCCTAGAGCAGGGCCATACTGTCCATGCCACTCTGAGGAACTTAGGTCTCTCTCTCTCTCTCTCTGAAACTGATACGCATGCTTATATTTTATATGCGCAACCCTCTTATGGTATCTTTTTTCTCCATATGTGCTGCAGAGGATGCATCCAAAGTAGGCCTTCTCAAGTCCCTCCCTAATGCAGACACCAAATTGTTGCTTTTCCAAGCTGACATATATGACCCCAATGAGTTTCAACCCGCCATCCAAGGATGTGAGTTTGTTTTTCACGTGGCCACTCCGATGCAGCATAACAACCAAAGCTCTCAGGTTACACACTCATACTAGCTATAACATATGGGATTGGACTTAATTAGTCTAATATCATGTTTTTTT